GTTTTTTTTTTGTTTTCTCAGTTTCGGGGGGGTTTTTTGTTGGTTTTTTTTGGTTGTTTTTTAGTATTTCAAGCAGGGCCCAGCTGAGCGCTGGGCGTTTTACTAAAGTACGAATCTTATTTTTTAATGTAATTAAAAGAAGAAAAAAAAAAAAGAAAAAAAGAGAGAAGAAGGTTAATAAAAGAAGAATAATAATAAAATAAATAAGCCAATGAAATGGACACACGAAAAGGAAACCCCAACGACAGAAGTGATGGTTAAAGGGGAGACGCTGGACTCGCCGCCCGGTCGGGAGAGCGCGGCCGCGTCCCCGCGAGACGCTTTTTTTTGGGTTGTTTTGCTTTAAACTCGTTGCAATGTTTGCATGCTGTCTTCAGAGGCCTTTTTTTCCAGTCCTGTCCAGTGCTTTATTCTCATGTAATGCTACCAACTGTGAGATTAAAACTGTAATAAAAAAAACCATTCCATACGGACGCGGCACATCCCGCCTCACCGCCCCTCTGTCTCTGGCTCTGCTCCCATGGGATGCAGCCCTGGGGGGGGGACGACACGACACAGCGCCCTGGGGGGGTCCTGGGATCCCCTGGCAGGGTACAAGGTGGGGACGGTCCCCCCCATCTCTGCCCGGGGTCCCCGCATCGCTGGGATGAGCAGCCTGGGCATCACTTGGTTCCATCCCACCCATGAGAACTGGCGAGGCTGTGACAGGGATGAAGCTGCCGAGTGATGGCAACGCTCCTCTTTAAGCCAGACTTTTATCTTCCACCCTTGGAGATGCTTGCACCAGCCGGGGGAAGACCTGGGGATGCATTTTGGGGCCGATCCCTGGACCTTGTGGACCTTGTTCCCTGCCCTGCTTGGCTCAGCCAAGGGGCTGAAGACGGGGACCCCCCCCCATGTCCTGGACCCCCGACCCCAAAGGAGGTGTCCCCACGGAGTCTCTGTTCTCTTAAAGGGTGTTGGGTGGAGGTGGCGTCCAGCACGCAGGGCTCAGCAGGTTTAAAATAGTTCCCTTCATCCAAGGGAGAATTATTCAGCGTTAAACGATGCGTGGGGCATCGGCTTTACCGGCTGCCTGGTTCGCAAGCCGGAGTCGGGAGCTCTCGGTCCGTTTGCGGCCAGGATTGGGACCGAGACGACTCGTGGTGGGGGGCTGAAGGAAAAAATAGGGAGCGCTGGGACAGTGGGCACAGCTCAGGTCTAGGTGGGATGGAGGATGGGGTCACACAGCCTTCAAGAGCCCTCCGGTGCGGAGGGGAGATGGCAGTAGCTACAAAAGTCGAGTGCTCCCGACCCCCTTCCCCTGAGACCTCGGGCTGTCCGGATATCCGGAGGAGACGGGACAGGGATGTGATGGGGCTTGATCCACCGTAGGGTTTCATTTCTCCTGGACTAACCCCCCCCCCCTCTTGTCACATCCTCCCCCGTTCCTCCCAGCACTCCAGCAGGCCCCAGCCATATAAGCAGCTTTACTTTTCGGGCTTATGAAGATTAAAGTCATTTACGGGCAAAGCCTGCAAGAAACATGGCTTTTGAAATGGTGAGAAATGCCCGGCACCTTCCTGCGACGGTAGACATCAGCGAGCCGGGAGGAGGTTTGGTCCGGTCCCCCGTCGCATCCCCTCTGGTCCCCTTGCCCTGGGTTACCGCTGGCCGATGGACCCCTGCCAGCCAGCAAAAAAAGGGGCGAAAACCTAACCCGAAACTCATTTAGACCTTTGGTTTTCCTCTAAATGGCCACCGCGCTGCCGATCTCTGGGACCGTGCCCGGTCCCACGGGCAGGAGGGGGCTTTTGGGGGTGTTTGGTGCCGTACTGACATCCTCAGCATCCTCCGGGATGTAGCTGGAGGGTGCTGAGAGAGGACTGCTGTTAAGAAATCCCATTCTTCACTGCAAAGAGGGGAGCTTAACCCTGCCAAGCCCTTCCTGCCGCCAGTGTCCGTGCCTCAGTTTCCCCCCGCGCAGGGCTGGCAGCTCCTGACTCCTGTCTCTGGGTCCCCCCCCGCTTTGGGCTGCGGCCCGGTGGGGCACAGCCAAGGACAGCCTGTATCCCACTAGGTGATTTCTCCCCAGGGATTTTGGGGCTGTTCCCATCAGCTGCGAACCCATCAGCAGGCTGTGCACCAGCTCTGCCCCCCCCCCCCCCCCCGCCGCTCGCGTGGGAAGAGGGGACAGGCCGCCGGCTCCTGTGTGACACCCGGGGGCTACTGTGGCTCTCGGGTGCTGGCACACAACATGTCCCCCTCCTCCTCCTCCTCCTCCTCCTCCTGTCGGTGACGAGGAGATGGGCACCGGGCCCAGTTGTGTCAGCTCCCATCCCGCCTCGAGTTCGCAGCGTGAATCATTATCGGCAACAGCAGGCAGGGAGTTATTTCTGCTGCCTGCGAGGCCGGCGCCGCCGAAGGCCGGGGTGCCCATGGCACAAATGGACCTGGCCCCTCCCTACGCCTTTGCCACACGGCATGCAAGGAGGAGAGAGACACGGGGAGGTCCTGGTTTAAAAAGCGCCTGAAAATTCAGCCTCCGGTTCTGGCGGCCCTCGCGCCTCTCCTTTCTGCACCGCTGGCCAGGACCCCAGCTTGGACTGGAGCTCGGCGTCCCCAGCTGGCGCAGGGTATCCGCTGCCGGGGCCCAGCCGGGCTGGGAGTGCCTGGGACCGGCGCTGACTTGGTACGCAGAAGCTGGAGGAGGTGAAAAGACGATCTCTGAAGTCACACGTGCTTTGCTTTTCTTTCCCTATCCATCACCTTGACGGCTCCTCCACCTGCCACCCACCCCCTGCACGGACTCGCTGGGGTCACCCTGGCCGGAGCACCTCTTCCAAGCGCCAGCTCTGGCTCCCTCTCGGTGCAGCCTGTCCCGGCCCTGCTGCCCTCCGCTCCCTGTAGATATCCTCTCCCTTCTCCATCGGGGCTCTTTCCTTTGGCTTCGGCTCTTCCTGAGCGCCTTCCCCGTGCCCCAGCCCCTGCCTGCCTTCTCCCCCTTACCCTGAGAGCCCCAGAGATGCGGAGAGCCTTCCTCTTCTAAACAAATAAAAACTGAGACTCACTTCAAAGGAAACCGGAGCGCCTATCTGTTCCCAGCGCAATTCCAGCTGCAGCAATCGCTCGCTGCTTCCCATTTCCCAGGGTTGCAAACCGTCCATCCCGAGAGGAGGGGGGTGTAACGTGCCCGGGCAGGCCCCCTCCCAAACTGCCCACTGCTTAATTCCCTCAGTGCCGCCTGGAGCAAATTGCCAGCTCTAATTATGGCCCAGCGAGGCTCCTTCTGCTCCATCCTCGACGTGCGGGCTTCCAAACCCCTGGCAGACCTCGCCAGCATCTGTGCACTGCCTGCACCTCCTCCCCCTCCGCGACTGACTTTATCGCGAGGACTATTTTTAGTGTGATGTACACACTATTTTTAGTGTGTACGGTCCCACCACCGCTCGGTGCCGTTCACCTCTCCAGCTCCGCGCGCCAGCTTTTCCTTCTGAGCACTCCAGGAAATGAAGGCAAGGCCGGAAAGATCCCCCGTGGGAAAACTCCGTGTGGCCGTGTGTGTGTTTCGGCTGGCGTGTGCCTTTGCTCCGGGCTTGCTCTCCACCACCGGCAGCAAAGCAGCACATGGTCTCCCCATGTGCCTGTTTACATGCTCTGTGTGTCTGTCCGTGTAGATTTGTGTCACCGCTTGGGTGCAGACTCTGCCATGGGAGCCCCCCCCCCACCCCCAATCACCTCCCGGCACGTGTGCCGGCAGGGATTATCACCACCCCTGCTGCCCTGCCTGCTTACCCTCCTCTTCTGATAATGCACCACGGCATCCCCCAGACCCCCCCATCCCTTGGGGCAAAGGCTCTATGTGCCCCTCCCCACAGCTCTGGCAGGACCATTCCCATCCCACCCATCCCAAACCCCTCAAAATCCTAATTCCGAGCCTGGGCAGCCCCGTGCTCAGGCAGACGCCGTGATGAGACGAGTGGCTTCAGAGGGAAGTGGGGGGGACATCTCGGCAGCACCCCCACTCCCGGCTTCCCTTCCCAGGTACCGTTTGGGGTCTCCCAGGGGATGCTCTGCCAGGCCACCCCGGGGCGAGGAGGGGGACGGCCAGGCAGAGGTGCCGGGTTTGTCGGGGTACCTGGCCGTCGCGTCTCCTCCCGCCCAGAAATAAATGGGGAGGGCCGGGTCCTTCCCCCGGGCTGGCATTAAGCCTCCCCGGGCAGCGGGGACCCTGATGGTCTTCAGCTCGCGGGAATCTGAAAATGAGCTGCGGCGCACATACGTGTGTGTGTGTGTGCGCGCGTGTATACGTGGGTGCACACCCGTAACAGAGGGTTAAGGGAGGTGTATTGCCCAGAACGGTACAGGGTATTCATTAGCAAAATAACACCAGCAACGTAAAACTATTTAGTTGTTACGCGCTGGGAAAGAGAAGAGATGGGCATGACCCTGTAAAGGACCTTGCAACTCCTTCCCCCCGTGCCCCCCTCTCACGCTCAGCCTGCGCTGCCGCAAGCGCAGGCAGCGAAATCCCCACCGGGGGAATGCTCTGCAGGCGCACGAACGCATGAGAGCTCGGGATGCAATTAAACACAGGGGGGGGTTTTTTAAAAAAAAAATGAAAATTCATTACGTGATGCAACGTGTGACACAGAGCCTCCGTGATATATAGCCCTCCCTGAGTATAATTAAGGCTTAATATCAAATCGGAACAGTAATAAACCCCCCTCTATGGGATTTCTTCGTCCTTAGGCGATGATGACAGATTTTTGGAATGTAAAGGCTTGGTTCTACAGGAGTAGGAAGGCTTTACATTGAAATGGCTTCCCTCGGTCACGAAAAGGCGGCTTTGATTTTGTTTCCATACAAAACTGCTGCGTTGCCTTTCATCTTCCTTGGCCAAGACAAACTCCAGGCGCTTTTAGCTTTATTTAATGACATTCAAGTAACTTGAAAGGAAGGAATTTCATTTGATAATTTACAACACCCTTACCCTAAACTTTCTTTATTCCCTGTGTTAATGAATTGGTGGCCCTTTTACCCCAATGAGCGCTGGGCAGAAGAGAGCTCACTGCCCTTTGAAGGGATGCTACAGCTCAAGACCACGGGACGTTTTCTCTTGAACTTTCGGCAGCTGAAGCTTGCGGTGGTCCACAACAGCGCCGGGACCCTCCGGCCGGGGCGTCCCCCCCCCCAGGGCGCCCCGCGCTCCCCC